TCTTTCTAAAAGACACACACACTGTTTAAACCTCTGAATACAATATCAATGCTGCAGATTATATTATTAATGCAATGGTAATGATGATGATGATTTACCAATAGCAGTAAAATAATTTCCCTGCTCCACACTCCCTCTCTCGACCTCTGGAACACCAGAGGTCGCAATACATTGTGTCCTCGCTCAGCAAATCAGACAACCTCATGTCAGCCAATTGGTCCAGTAATAAACACCAGCTCCCACTCGAGAGCACTCCCTGCGTAAGCTTAGGTTTTTTCTGCGTCCCTCTCTTGTCTCGGGCCTCCAGGATCCTCACCCCCTGTGGTCGCCGAGATCTTCTGCAAAGGAAACAAAACACCTTTTCCTGCATCTCCCTAACTTATCCTATTTGGGACTCTGTAATCAAAAGCCTTATCCTAATTACACTCTTAACTTATTGACTTGTATTTATATATATTCTTCGGCTGTAGAAGCTGTGAGATCCGGGTCTGAGTCAGACGCTGCATTGTGGCGTGGTCGCGGTCCCTGCATGTTTAGGAGAAGTTGGGGTTTGGGTCCTCAGCAGGTCCTCTTCACAGCTCACACCTATTTCTGCTTCAAGGTCCTCGGGAGGAGATCATCTACCTGCCCTGCATATACCGCAACACCGGCATCCTGAAACCTGACTACCTGGCCACTGTGGACGTGAACCCCAAATCCCCCACCTACTGCCAGGTAGAGCTGAGCCCCGCTGGAAGCCGAGGACTTCCTCCTTCTCCTTTAGTTTCATATCTAACATCAGAGTCAGTTGCCTCCTCTTCCTCAGTCACAGATGAACGTTAAGAACAGTGCTGTAGTGCATTGTGACCTTTGACCCATGCCCTCACAGGTGATCCACCGGCTGCCGATGCCGAATCTTCGTGACGAGCTGCATCACTCCGGCTGGAACGCCTGCAGCAGCTGCTTCGACGACGCCTCCAAGAAGAGAAACTTCCTGATCCTGCCGTCACTCGTCTCGTCCCGAATTTACGTGGTTGACGTGGGGACGAATCCCAGAGCGCCCAAAATCTACAAGGTATGCACGCCATGGCAGCGGGGGGCGCTGACTTCACACAGACACACACACTGGTACTGATTATGGACACGTTCCTCATAGTAGTCGACTTTTACAAATGACGACCCCCCCCCGACACGGCCGCGTGGTCACACAGCACCATGACTGAGGGCATGCTTACATCCATGCGCTGACCTCTGACCTGAGAGCAGGTCAAAGGTCAGCAATTAGGAGGAAGCAAAGGGTTAAAGGCAGCACGGTGGCACGGTGGTTAGCACTGTTGCCGCACAGCAAGAAGGTCCTGAGTTCAATTCCACCATCAGGTCTTTCTGTGTGGAGTTTGCATGTTCTCCC